AACATCTGAACCATTATTAAATCAGTTGTGACCCGAGCATTTTGTACTGGCATCCCATATTGGCTAGGCCGGCTGTAGACGGCCGTAGGCCGCAGGTGCATGAGGAGACACCATGTGACAACCATGGGGGTATCAGTTTTACTATCATCGTGTCCAAGATCCTGGGGACCTATGGTTATCCGATGCAAAACTGCAGCTAGATAACAGCGAATTCGATAAAACCAACAGATCTAAGAACTTGAAGATGGTGTATTGACTATACTTTCACCTTACGGCAGGTTTTGGAACACATGCAATCTTACCTGTCAGAGGCCGACATATGGCACATTTCATGACCAGAAAGCGGCATTTGACTTTGTCTACCGTGAGGTGTTGTGACAGTGTCTGACTGTGAAAGGAACACTGGAAAAATACATAGTGCTTATCAAAGCTCTCTACTTGAACCTACGCAGCCATCTAAGGGTTTATGCAGAGTTGTTATGTTAATTGACAACAACCAGTGGTGTCCGCCAGGGATGCTCACTGTCACCGTTTCTGCCTAACTTCGCTATAGATGTACTAATAAACACAACCAGAGGTCAAGATGCTGACAAAGTGCAGGGTCTTCTAAACATGTTGAGCAGAAATCTTAGTATGTTTAGCATGCGTTGCCCTGTCACCCGTCAAGTGTAAGATGATGCTGCAGCACTGGTCTGAGACGACTCTCAGTTTAACCATAGGGAGTGAAGTGGTGGAAAATGTAGACCACTTCGCCTACTTGGGGAGTTGCATCAGCCTGAAGAAGCTGGTTACTTACGAAATCTCAGCTCGGATTTAGAAGGCTCGTTCGACATTTTCCAACTTGCGGCATCTGTGGCGCTGGCTGATGAGATACCCAACTATCTATCAAAGGACGAGCATACTGTGCTGTAGTCCGTTCTGTTCTGCTGCACGACTGTGAGACACGGCCGTTAAAAGTGGGAGACATGAAGCGGTCGTAGGGTTTTGGTCACAGATGTCTTCGTCACGTTGCTCGCATATAGTGGAATCACCATGTGAGTAATGTTGAAGTCAGTCGAAGGATACCAGACAAGACAGGCAAGTCGAATGATGAGGTTGTGAACCTTAGTCGACTAAGATGGCCTGGACATGTACTGCGCATCCCTAGCCACCCTCTACATCGACGTGTTATGTTAAGGGAAGTTATATCAGAATAGAAAAGGGTTCAGGTTGACCAGACCAAAGACTCAGCACCAGCCGACGAAGTTCCCGACTATTGCCCTGAGCCGTGTGGGAGATGTAGACTCCCTGGTTGGGGTCCCTGAGATGACAGGAATCAGTGGTTGGGGAATCTTGGTGACGTGGCTGAAAATCAGTCGCAGTGGGGCAGTTGTATTCACTTCTTAACATCTAAAGTTTGAATATTCGAACTAACTTTTATCTTCAAACCGCTTGTTCTCTCACACAACTTTATCCACTTTGATATTACTCCCTTTCTATCCACCTGTTTCTTGTGTACAACCATGAAGTGTGGCAACCTGAGGTGATGCACCTGGGTGCGAGGCTCTTCGTTAGTTTTGTCTTTAAGCCTCAATATATCATCAAACGGTTAGTCTATCTCCCACCAGTGGTATCACCATAATAGTTTGTATGTATTTTCTAAAGACTCACGTTTGTTATACTCATATGAGATTCAGCAAACTAGTGATGCACAAAAGAGAGATTTTGTGCTTTTCTGAAATGACTTTCCTCTGAAAACAAGAAAAAGAGGGTTACTGACCGCGGTCTCGATTTTGAAATATAACTAACCATATACGAAGTTTCTAAGAGCACTAACCTCTGGGACCCATTACACAGAATCAGGATGCACCACCATATGCTGACCCATCAAAACTACTCCCCATTCTATGGTTTAAGTTCACAAACTGACCACTTCCAGCCATTCTTAGTTAGAAAATAAGGCTCAATATCATAGTCCATAAAAATATGTTTAAGGAGATGGGAGCTTTATTGAAGTATAACATCTATAATTCATATCAAACCTCAGTATTATTTGATTATTGCTGCTGATAAATGGAACCACCACTTAACAGCAAAATTTGAACACAAAGTAATCAGACATCCTTGTCCCCCTAATGCCAGTTTTCCCAAACGTAAAGATTGCCACACTAAAGCGTTGTACACCTGATCTCTTACAAACAAACTAATGGTATCAGAGAACACTAAGATTAGATGAGGCAGATCGTAGCATCCACTTCACCACTAACAGTCTATCTCACAGGTATATGCATTTTTTCACTACTCTCAAGAAGTCAACCATCAAAGGTGAATCTACTTCAGAGATGTTCACGGAATGTCATTGATAATAAAGCTAAAAACATACGGTGGTATTAGACAACCTGTATCGTACTACTGAAACAATGAACAGAAGTGGTGGTGTGCGCTCCATCTATTCAGTTTTTTTTCTACAGACCTTTCAAAAAGTTTACACACACCCCAGAAACACTGTACTCTGACAGACAATTACACTGCATAATTCTGTCCACAATACCGAATTCAGCTCTGATGTCGAGATGCAAAGATTGCTGGCTAGTGATCGCTTTTGTTTTCAGAATGATGAACAGCTAACTTTGAACCAAGCCAAATTTGTTTCTATGCAGTACTGGGAGCTACCAGTTTGCTTAAGTTAACCCGTTTAGGACAACCACCTTGATGATTAACAAATCCGAGATGAACTTAATACACAAAAAAGAATCCTAACAAGTATTCCGGATGGGACAAAAGTATTGTATGCACCCACTCCATAGGCATTTTAAAAATAAGGTACTCGAATTCAGACCTGAATAGGAGAGAGAATATTCAAGGTGGTACATCGACGATAACTTTGTAGAAAGTAATTACCTGTGGAAAATAGGTTGTGATTTGTTCGAGATGGTGGAAGACCATTTTTTGTACTAGGTATCCCGTAAACTTGTCCTAAAGGTTAGTTTAGCAATTATTTTCAGAACTCAGACAAATAACCTGCACGCACAATATCTGTAAAGGATATTCATCTTTGGTTGTATCTAGCCTTTAACTTGTAAGAGCCAAAGTAGAGATAGTAAGGAAACAATGTTCCATTTCTCCATTAATTATCATAGTGAGACCCAACCCAAAAAGGCAAATGACTATCTACAGAAATTTACTCAAGTAGTACAGCTTCAGATCCATTGCACTTAATACAGCATTGACACTCACAGTGATGGAGCACAAATGTCAAAAAATCCACGGATTAGCTCAAATGAAGCATACTTTTTAATCAATACATGGATTGCGACCGAAACATAGTACTGGGTTCATGTGTATACCTCGTTCATTGTCCTCGTCTGATTCCGAAGCTATCCGATCAGCATCAAGGTGCATACACAAAGCAAAAAGCCTTCATGATACTCATAATTTATAAATGGTTGCTCTTCTATTGGAAGACACATCTATGTAAACAACTCTTTGATAACTACAACCCACATGTTTCACAACTCATAACAATGTCCGGTTACGGTAATTGAAACCAAAAAAATTACATGTAAGCTGAATGAAAATGACCAACACGTTAAGAATAAAAAGCTCAATTCACATGCCCCTAAGACGGAAAGGTGGATTCCTTTACACTTGCATTTCCTATCATGTAATACGAACGTTCTCATGCTACTTAGGCTATCAAAATGTGTTGAATAAATAACTTTCAAGTCCTTAGCTCAAAAGTGGTAGTGGTACGAGTATATAATGCAGTCAAACCATAGCCAATTGGCACTACATGTTTACATACCATTTGTCCCATCAGCGTCTTGGAGTCCGTTTATATCCCTAGTCTGAAGTCAAAGATTCCCAGCACAATTATTTGCACACGGATGGTTCACTAACCTCGCTTAATACATTATCATGAGGAAAAGTATCTTACTTTGAACCAAAGCACACCACTCAATACGTGTTTCTTATGGAATTCTAGAAACAAGTTGACCGCTTCTTCCGAATTTCAGTGTTTTGTCCTACCTCTAATTGTCTGCGGTTACAGACTAGTGTTGCTTCGGGTGTTATTTCCCTTTTTTACGCATGACCGCGTTATCCCTGTCAAAGCTTCGGATCTAGCGTATTCGGGCAGACGTATCACGAATATATAACTTTCTTGGGAAAACAGATATTTAACAGCAATGGGGAGGTTGAAGACTGAATGTAGCAAAAGGACAGAATATATGAAGGAAGATAGTTTATGTTGGTTTACCTTCATTTGTCATTTGCTCCTCTCCTCCTGACCAACGAGTTTAAAAATGAGCCCCAGATGCGAATGTAAAACCAGGAAAGATGTTTCCTGGGGAATGATCTACGAAGAGAGCTGAAAGCTAAAGCAGTTAACCAGCTGAAACACCAAAGAACAACTGACAGGAGGCAGATCGGTCGGTTTGAAGAAATAATAATGCCAATTTCCAACTATTGAGGAGTTGAAGAACGCGCGGCGGTGAAGTGCATGCAGGAATAGGACTGCTGCGAAAGTCCGACTTTTTAAATTGAGTATTTCAGGTGAGAGTTTCTCAATCTGGAGAAATCAAGGAGCTAAGAGACGAGCGAAAACACGTCACTATTCAAAGAGCAAGCGCGCTGACAGGGTGACTCCTAAAGTTCGTCGCGACTTTGTATCTTTAATAATTTGAGATTAACGAATGCTACTTAGTAGTCGGTTTTATGTACTACAGCATATAACGTATTCAGCACAAAATCTAATGACACTGGTAAGGGGTATTCTAGTAGGAGAAAGAGGTTATTGAATAGCCCATTAATTACACACAAATCACTGCCCCAAAACATGGCTTGTGTTAAAACTTTATAGAGATCTGTAAAGTTCAAAGGTGATAAAGAGCACTGGCGTTTTGTGAATGCCAGATAAAACAGCTGCATAACATCCAATTATTCATTCATGTTTTCTAAAGCCATTTGAGTGAACAAAGAATATTCCTATAGAAAATATTCTTCGTCCACTCAAATGGCTTCCAAATTGTAATGGAAATTCTCAATGGTACTTCCTTAAGTTTAATAAGCACTCCTACTACTACCAAATGTTACCTCCATTCTCATTCCGTCAAATGAACTGCTACACAATACCATGAAATCATATTGAGACCAACCGAACTTCAAACTCGAAATCTAAATTACACACTGATAAAATATGAAGTTAGCAGTATATGCATATGATTTATTCGTGACAGAAAGGACTAAAACATAAAACCAGAAACCCAATGACAGCTGTTAATGTTCAATAAATGAAAAAGTAGCCACGTTCAAAGGTTAAAATTTATATCTATATGCATATTAACAGTAAAATTACCAATAGAAGTAACAAAGCATTTATTGACCAAAAAGTGACTCATTGTCTGTTTTAAACTCTCCATTGCGACGAAAATTTTAAGACTGATATAATATCAGTCATCGACATCACTTAGCATTAAAATTGATTCAGCGTTACACTCATCATGTAGGTCACGCAGACCACATACACTTTCAAGATAAGAAGCATCATCAAAGACCTTCCAAAGAAAATCAAATCCTCTTTCTTTGTATGCATCCAGTACAGACTGTGAACACGCTGAACACTTACTAAATGCCACCGTCGCAGGTAAGACTTGTGTATAGTGAGAGAGAAATCCCCTTATTTGGTGGGGAACAAGCCCAAGAGACATTTTAGTTGCATCCGTTTCACACAACTGCGATAATGTATCGGCTGGGGCATTATACTGAAGAGGATGTTGAAGTATGCTGATCATCAATTCGACAGCAAAAGCAGCAGCGATCATAGAAACACCTGGTCGGGTGACAGTACACTGCTGGTCGAGGCTACGATTGCGTGTTGAATTCATTGGTCCAACTACATCATTGCAAAAATAACAACCCAAGAAAGAGCCAGGTATGACTTTAGGTTTTAAAGCAGGATCTTTCTTCCCGAGACTCATTTCTTCACACTTAAGATAACGAATACACGAAGTGAGATCACTGACGTCTCCAGAGCTTGGTGAAATAAATGGACCACGGATGCCATGACGCATGACCAAATATGTATCAAAACCAAGAGCAGCATTTATTACAAGTTTTCCGTGAATATTCGCCAGAACTGTAGGCAACCAACGAGACTCTCGAGTATCCGTCAATAGGAACAGAACATCATGTTCGCCAACCAAATCACTTAATTTGCGACAAGTATCCGCGCACTGACCAAAAGTACAAAATTCTGATTCTTGAGCATCACCAGGTGGCACTATACTATGGGAAGATACAGGATGCCCTGGCATAGGTATAGAAAGGTCAAATCCACTTGCTTCCACGCCTGGGAAAATCGCTCTTAGTGCCTGAGCTGCAACTACAGCCTTATTTTTACTGGGACCTACTGAATCAGAAAAAACATACAAGGACTGTCGTACAGGGTTAGAAAACGAAACTGAGCTGTTGTCCACTAGAGTGATATGACGAACTCCCCAAGCTAAGAGTTGACGAGCAACATTGCAACCCAAAGTACCTGCACCTATCAGCAGACATTTTGTATCACGAAATATCGAGAGTTTTAAATCAGGCATGAGTCTCCATTTCATTAACTTCAAGTTCAGATCTACAGCTGACCCAGCTAATTTAACGGGGTCCATACTTGTGCTGAGGTCTACAACACGCGGTTTTAACTGCTTTTTCCATTTCTCCCAACCAACGAATTGACTGAAAATTGGAGTTGTTGGTCGTAATTTGGCATGAATTACAATGCTATGCTCCCAGCATCTTTGTCCTGAAACAAAACGATCCCTGAGACACAGTACTTTAACAGAACTTTCTGTTTGCACTAAAGTAGCGGATAGTGCATACAGCAGATTGCGTAAAAACCAACAAGGGAACTGTGGGTCAACAGATGAATCACACATTCCAACATACACAGAGGGTTCTAACTCAAAACCTGACAATGGGCGAACTTCTATGGACGGATCTAATCGCACAACGAAAAAAGGAGAATTATCTTCCTTGCGCCAGCAGTCAAATGAATGCAATATACACATGACCTGGTCTTCAGAAAATTCTTCCCTGACACTCCTGATACACGAAAACATTGGCTGCTCTGAATGTAAAACTGCTGGGTAAGCAAACCAGAAGTAAAATTTGTGTTTTTTGAGGTCACAGTAGGTTAAGAGTAGGAACCGCAAGAGCACGATAGGGTTTTTCAGAAATTCATTCTGTGAAAGAGCCTCTGTCATTATTACGGAACCATGTTCATTTAGAAAGGACTGTTTATCAAGACTCTTGAACTCATCCAAACTGTTAAACGTGAATAATTCACCAAAGACTTTGAAGCTGGATGATACCGAACTCCTCACCACATTGCTGTCACAGAAAGAAGTGATGTCAACCGATATCCTAGGGGATATGCCGAGGGCCTGATTATTCGTGAACTGAGCAGATATCTTGAAGGGACCCTCTGACAGACGGTATTTATTGAGTTTTCGATCAGCTAAGCCATGCCAAAAGGCAGTGTCGACTACTGTTTCAAAGGGTACGTATTGCAAAACTGACATTTCAATCTCTACTCAGTGATGATCACACAGACACATTTGCGCAAACAGAATCCTAAGGATAAACGACTTACAAAAACTTGAACCTACCTCTGGGAAAATGTTGGAAGCCTCGGTCTTAAACCCGACATCTACACCGCTACTGTCGTATGACGCGGTTCAACATCCAACATCCAATATCTGTTTGACAACCTTGTGTAAACCAGCTGGAAAAGATTGCGTAGTGCGGCACTTAGGGCACTCTCTTATTGTTTCAACGCAGATTGACGAATGCCGTCAAACCCTGGACATTTTCCCGCACTTGGCTTGGACGACTTATCGGGAACAACAGCACGTGTTTTTGTACTTCGTGTAACTCGGCTGCATCGGATAACGTTGGGGCTGTTCAGGCTGCAGGTATACGTGCTTGCATGATGAAATGATGAGCCGTGCGTCAAAGGTGACGATTGTCATTTTGTTGATCTCCTGTTCAGGGTGGTTTTCCCCTTTCGGACGCATGCCAATTGGCTTGTAGATTTGCTCTTCACCAACGATCGATATGCGTTTTGGGGATTTACTTCAAGCTTCTTGGTGAGGTTGGACTGGAACGACCTCCTGTCTTCTCACACCCTGATGTTGCATCGATTTCACAGAGCTGTGTATACGTCATGGTCATCCTCTACTCCGGGGAACCTCCATTTACGCCATGCCTTCCTTTCTACTTTCTGGAGACGCTGAGTGCCCCGTTTTAGCTATGAGGTTCGCCTTCCGGGTGTTTTTACCGTCACTGGGACGTTTTTGGATGTCACCACTTTGATGATGTCTCTTGCTACTTCCCAGTGCCGGCCAAACGATAAGGACAGCCAATCTACTAACCGTGGAGCTATCGACAGGCATTGGTTCATTCCCTGAGATTTATGGTTTGTGAGATGACAGAATTCTAGCTTCCTACTCTTCGGCTGTCACCGATGACACCCTAAGGTGTGGGGCTTATTTCGTAGTGCTCTACCTCCATGAGAGAGCCAGCCCAAGTTCACTGTAATGGGCTTTGTTCCTAGCTTCTTGCAGCAGCCATCCCACTCTTCCTGGGTGGACTGCTCTCCTTTTCCTTAGGGTGAGTCTGTCGTTGTGGGTGATGGGTATTGCGTTCGGAAGTCAGTGGTTTACTCTACACTTTCCGTCTCGAACTTCGCCTATCTCTTCTCGCCACAATCGATTTCGTCAAGTGGCTCAGCTTCTCCAGATCGTGTGGGATTTTTTAAAGCATGTAGTGAAGAACTCGTCGGTGCCTCACATTCAGTGGAGACTGGCAGTTTCTCATGCCGCTTGGTGACGTTTACCCGCACCTGTGCTTTCGGTGTCCATGGGACCTGCCATATCTGTTAGTAGATTTCGGGAGCTCGTATCTCGTGACGTCTTAGGCTGCCCGCACCAAGTTCTTAAGTTTGCTGGGGGTTAGAACGGGTAGTTTCCGACGTTCCGGATGTATGCAGCATATCCGGTTGCATGGGCACCTTTCCGTGAAGTTGTTACACTAACGTGACACGCGTTTATCAAAGGCACAGTGCACCCTTTTCGGGTAAATGTCAGACCCAGGAGCTTTGTGAGTCTCTGGCGCTGATGTGTTCCAAACACCACAGTCGTCAGAGGTTTGCTGTTTTTCACATTTCAGTTGCCTGTTTTTGTGAGTTGGAGTTAACTATCGCATGTGTCAGTATACTTGCCTGTTAACATCCACTTTTTCCTCATTGTCTGCTTTATGACAACAGATGGTTGGAGGCATATTGCTATCGCCTTGGCTACATGAGTTCACAGGTTCTGGTGAATTCTATCTTGTGTGACATTCGTACTGAAATTCTGGAGGGTAAAGGGTCACCGTGCCTAGCTTGTCTCTACAGACAAGTTTCCGTTTGCACTGCCATCCCCATCAGGTGAGTTATTGTTTGAGACCCGTTCTTCTTTGCTACTACAGGCAGGTTATACGGGATATATAAACCGCATAAAAGATAACGAAAAGGCACAGGAGATAGCTTACCATCGGAAACTTGATGGCTAATCTCTCCCACCCGATCAGCACCCTGAACCCTAAACCGTTAGTTTGTAGGTATAGACCAAGGAAGACGTTCCCTCGTGAAGGATCCCAGAATAAAATTGAAGACTTTAACAGTTAAACAGTCGAGAGAACTACGAAAAAATCGCAGAAGGCACTTCTGAGTTGTGATGATGGTTGCGTTGTTGAGGACAACGATTTTCCCATCCAGTTGGTCAACAGCCTCGTATTCACTGCTTTGCCACTGCCAAAAGACGTCTCTCGGTAGTGAACACAGTGGTATTAGCCTGTTCATTGGAGTTGAAGAAGGCAAGACGTTATTAAAATCTCAAGAGCGTCACTTGATAGTCAAGACTGGGAAAGCGGTCAGGTGGTAATATGTAAGTTGTCTTGTGCTTAGGAGACCGGAGACTCCAATTTTATATCAGTGGTGGACTGTGTAGGCCAACGTAGTTATGCATAAAACTCTTGACTAACTTCCTTGTAAGAGCCACTGCTATTTCCTGTGGTATGGTGCTTCATGGTGCACGTACCCCCAGTGAAAAGAAGTTGCCTCTCCCCATACTGCTGGCGCTTTTATGAGCCACTTTTGCCGGGTTCCCTCGTGACCATTCGTTTTGGGCTGGCAGTAACTCTTCACATGATGGCTCGCCGGTCGAACTGGAAAAGATATCTTAAGAAACCGCTGTTTTACAACATTCTGCACCCGATAAACCTCCAAGACATTCGATCTATAACGGTACTGCTGATTGTGAGTCGTTGATTCTGCCAGGTATCACTTTCGTCAGGTCGCCTGTTGAATAATGTGTCCTTCCATCGTGCGGCTTATTCCACTGACTTCAGTGGCTTGAGGATGAATTGCATTTCACTTCTTCGTGTTAAAGTCTAGACCGTTCCCCTTAGCCTAAGATACCAGTTGAGATAGTTCAGTTAGCAGCAGCTGCGGATCATTACTGCGGCCTATCATCCTCCATTTTTTGGTCTCATATTGCCTCAGTAGAATGGGAAGCGAGACCCACATTGGTGGGCCATTTACGAAGAGCCAAGACAGAAAGAGACCAAAGATTCCTCCCTGGGTCTCTCCGGATATGGGAAACCTCTACTCAGACCGTGCTTTCCGACCCGCGTTTGCAATTCCCTACCCCCAAAGTACTCTCTGAGCTAATAGGTTGGAGATTCACTGGCTGTCGCTTTCGAAATTTTGTCTATGATAGGGTGCGTATCGGACACTGTTAAGGGCTTTTTCTACGTCAAGGAATCGCACGTATGCTGCTCACTTGTTGCCTAGCTAGCTTTTCGGTTGACCTAAGCAACCAGGAAGTTGGTGGCGCAAGACCTCCCTTCTCAGGAGCGTTGTTGGGTGTAGATGGTGATGTTATTCCTGTCGAGGAATTTAAAATCAGCATCGGCCATCAGGCTTTTCAGTATCTTGGAGAGTATGGCCAACAGAGCTACTTGTCTGCACTTGGTTACATCTTTCCCGTCACCTCCTTTAAACACTGATGACGAGATGGCCACCTTCCATTCTTTTATTATTTGCTTTCTCTGTGCGACATCTGTTAACAGGTTGCAAATTTGCCAAGTTTATTCCCTCAACGCAGTTTCTCCATACCGCTGGACTTAACCCATCGCAACCCGGAGATATCATGGGCTTAAATCTCCATGGGTTTTCCGAAACTTTGCTGATCGGTATTTCTGCTTCGTGCGGTCTTTTAACTTGATCGCCTGCCGTAAGAACGTCACCTGGCATACACCGATGTCAATAGTATCTTCTTTGAAGTTAGCCTTGGTGTCGTGAGTGAAGGCATCGAGTCTATCTACAGGGAGGTACTCTTCAGTTTTCATGGAAAAGATTGTTGCTCCATGATCACTCCAACGTGGCTGAAAGTGAACGCTTGTTTTCCGCGAGGAGGCCGTCATTCGTAAGCACACAGCCAAGTCGTACTAGGCCATATGGTGCCAACTTGGTAACATCTGCGAATTTTTCTTGCCGTCCCATCAGTCTCCAGCCCGTTTGAATTTCTGAATACGTTATCTGCTGGCGTGTTTACATTCCGTGCCTTACTCAAATGACGGGGCTAGGAAATCTTTTGTGACTAGTACATTGTCTTGTCCTGCGTCAGCACTCGCCTACTGGGATTAATTCGACCCTATCTTATGTTCATAAGATAAGATAAGTAGTTGGGATCCTGTGCGTCACCATTAATTAGTATTTCGTGCGCTTTGGTGTAAAATTTCACGACTGGGATACCTGCAGCTGTACTAGATCGGTATCTGATGCCTCTCTAACGTTGAGGTCTGGATTGGTGCAAATGGTGATCCCACCTCGGTCTTTGAGACTCCCGTCGTCGCCGCTCAGGCTTACGTTGGCCAGGCGAAGTTCACGATCCGAGATACCAGAGGGTAACCAAGTTATAATGACGAAAGTGATGTTAAAACTAAGGTGGGTGAAAAGGTATCATAGCTCATCTCTTTTGATTCTTAGGCCCCTGAAACTGTGCATACACATTCAGACACCTCAATTCGGTATTCTGCTCTCTGTTGTGGCACTCTTGGTGCAGGAATGTTGCCTTAAGAGTTCGATGCCAGGATTGTCAGCGTTTGCTGGGCCGGTTGTGGCTCACTTTTTGAGCCACCATTAGTGTCTGCAAACGGTGTGGCCACGAGGTGCCTTCGGTCGTATGCCTGGAGCTTTTCGCGTGACGGTGACAGATTGTGGTGTCTCCGGTGGTTGGCTTCCACACCTTCTTCTGATAGTCTTGGGTTTGATCCCACAGCGGCTAGTCGCCTCACAAATCTCGTTCTATGGCCACACCCGGCTTTAAAAAAGCCCGTGGGCGCTGCACGTGAGTTAGAACCAACGACCGGCAACTATGAAATGAGGGTGCCCTGAGCTAGGCTAATCCTTTTAGCACTGTGACACTTCGGGTCACCTGGCTGTGTGGTCAGATTTTTCTCTAACTACCTCCACCGTTTCATATCATGAAGGTGGCGTCCGCTGTTTATCTGTTCTCCCTTCAGCACTGAAATCCCACGCATAACAACGTTTGAGGACCCAAACTGGCCACAAGGTGGCTCATTCTTCTCCTCTCCTGTGATAGACCATGGTTTGTCAGGCTTAGTGCCGATATGATATGAGCCCGACAACCTGTAG